TGATGATGATGATGATGAAGGGGCTAAGTTTCGAAGGCGCACAGTAGAACAGCGCAACAGCAGCCTTCAACCAGCAAAGAATTTTACGTCCGCACTACCAACTTCTAGGTACTCCGGTTGTCACAGGTCGTAATGCTCGCCAACTTTACGAGTTGTTCAGCTTCCCACATAAGCGAAGCTGTTGGCTAGCTTCAGGTAGTCTCCACCTACGGTAAACCTAGCCAGAGGTTCTTATTAAACATTGCGCAGGATCTTGCACAGCCTACTAGTTGCGATCTGTCAAGGTATTCACCAACCTTATGACTAGTGTGTTACGTTCAGACAGCGTATCGCGGTATCTCGAATATCGTGCCAACTAAAACATGAGGTGGTCTGGTGCAGCGCATTCAGCTGAAGCGGTCCAGTGTAGACGAGAAAACGAGGCGGAATCAGTGGAGTTTCCTGTTAAAGCTAAAGTCGTGTGTATATGAAAGTATTCCTCAAAGCCCTGGTATTAATACTTGTCATTTTATGGGGAATAAATAAGCATGGACCACGAATTCAGGTGCCTCTGATCACGATGAAACCAGTCGATAAAAAATCTGTACATAAGTGGTGACTCTGTTCCATAGGTACCCAAAAAGCCACAAGAAATGGGACAGCTAGTATAAGCGAGCTAGAGCACAACACACGAAGCCGACACCGGTTGCTGCGATAACTCCGGGACTTCTACAACTCATGCTAAATATTCAAACTTCCCAAACATCGGTGCAGATAACCGATAGAACATTCCAGCAATCTAGAAATATTTCAAGACATGCGAGGGAGTAGTCTGTCAGATTAATGCAACTACTGCCGCGGACGTAATATCGGGGGTGCACCCGATTCTGAAGCGCTAGACATTTATTGCAATTCAGATAGACAAAACCGGCACTGTACTGTCACCCCACAAGGAAACGGGTCGGCCAAACCAGAAAAACAATCCCCGAAGAAACTTTCAGTACATTTGCATAGGATACCGACCAGGGCCATGGACTACCTGAATGTCCACTACACATGAGTGTTCGTTACACAAATCCACCGTAAAACACTATTTTTCTCGTCGACTAGACCAGACCACTCAACGGTAGAGCTCTCATGTCGCCATATAAAAACTGCCACATAAGTTCACCAAAATGGAGCCTTCTGTAAACACGAGGTGGTGCGAAGAGTTCTTGAAACCATGTAACGACACAACGTGGATAACAGAAGTAGTGTTGCACTGGACACGAAACGGCCGTCAACCTGAAAGTGGCCGCCACACCCCAATCGAAGTTGAGGATATCAAACACCGTAGTAATGTCGGAGGTAAATCACCATTGCTGCATTGAAAGGCAGCTGGAGAAAAGCTACGGCTTCACATTTTGACCGGTCAAAACCTTACACGCTGATGCTGATATGGAACTAGAGACAGCACAAACCAGCTGCCATACAGAGGTTCGCGTCGGAAATCACTGCCAAGTTTGGAGCGGACGAGGTTGCCTATCGAACACAACCGCAGCAGAGGCCCGTTAAAGCGACTTTAAAAAGCAACGCAACGTAACGGTGTGCGAAGACGTGTACAGCAAGTTGATGAACGTGCAAAAAGTATTAATCTTAACGACCTCTGACGAACGGATCACCATGCAGGATTACATTTTATCCAAGGGCGCTAGTTTGCTGGTTAGCTCGCCTGGGAAGCAGCGTAAAGCTGAGTGCGGATCATGAACCCTCGAATTTTCTATGCTATCCAGCTTATTCCTAACTGGCTTATGGTCGGGCTCTCGGAGCAAGACCACCAGACAATTGTCTGGAGGTGACTGGCAAATTACGGTCGATCCAATGGAAGTTGGTCGATTGCTACCTTTTGCTTCTAATCATCACCGGCGCCGTTACGTTCCGCCAAAGGTGTACGTTCAGATGCGTCACAGTTTACTACAAAACATTACAACACATTGAGTCTAGACCACAATATGGACTTGCAAAAATCACGAATAGCGATAGCTGGAACGCTTATACGCGGTTAGATGACTCACTATTTCATCTGGACTGAGAATTCCGAATTGGAGTGCCTTAACATCCCTCAGCGGGGGTCCACCGCCCGCCATGGGAGCCATTCCAAGAGCGATTGGGCTAACTCCGTTAGCGCCTGTGGTCAGACTGTTTCGCTCGTTAGTGCGAACTAAAAAATCCAGTTCGGTTTGGGAGCTCCACGGGGTTATAGCCAATCTGGTAAATCAAAGTGCTTCTAGGTAGTGCGCAGAGGTGTTGTACACAAGTTGTAGGGAGTGTCTGGAGTTGGGAAATGAATGATAAACGTTAGACTTAAGCTCAAAAAATTTTTATTTCGCCCTAAGTCACGCCCATGAAGTCAAACCCCTATACCTTCGGCACTCAGAATCTTTAAATTTTCTTTCCAACTTTATTTTTGTCAGCGCTTTGTGAAATTGGAACTGAAGTAAATGATAGAGACATATGAGGTGATTACTAATAATGTGAGCCGGGGAAGGTGGAGCACTGGTGAGCCTTTATAAATCCTAAACGGTTAACACAAATACCCATACTAACGTTGAAAGGATGAAGGCCTTTGCTGCGGAGCTGTTTATTGAAAAACATCAACTGAAGAGTTACAGACCACTGGACAAGAAGCAAAACTCTCACATGTTGATAAAAACTGACGATCTGTCTTCTCGAACGCGTCTTCCTAAATATTCCTGGATATTCATTGACTATTGCTCAAATATAAGCAAGTGCCAAAAAGCAGTTCTACAAATTCCGTAACAAACAACACTTTTCAATAGGCGCGAAGCAGATTTACGAGAAAAAACATACCACCCGCATGCCTCGTCAGCAGCATCCACCATTACACACCTTTCCTCCTTTAAGGGTAGTTCTCATGCCATCGATTTTCATTTACCTCCAATAGGTCGGCTCCAGCAGCTGGTCTGTTCGGCCGCTCTTCAGATGTAACATGTATCAGATGTATCATGCCACTTAGGAAAATGAGTCCCATTTACTCTTTTCGGTCCCCAACCATCTTGAATTGTATAGACTTTCCTCCTTTCAGGAGTCTGATGATCCTCCCACTTGACCTTCGTGCCTATGGGGAATGTTCGTGCCTTTCTACTTGCCGTTTTCTGCCCAGTCCTTTCCTGAACGTCGGTCAATCTTCTTGAGCTCTCCTTCTTTCCTACTCTAGCTCCTCGAGGGGGTAAGTATGTTGCCGGCCACAACCCGATTTCTTCATCGAATGGAAGGTGCGGATTTCGACCGTACATCAGCACAAATAAGGACTCGTCTGCAGTTAGCTGTATGAAAGCACGGTGGATTGGCAACACCGTTGGCAGGATCACTTCCCTTTCACCTACTTTGGCTGCCAGCCACTTTTTGCTCGTTCGGCTATTACACACGGTTAGGCCATTTATTTGCGGGTGGTATGGTGCCGTCCTTAGCCGTCTGATACCCAGCTTCCGCGGCCGATTCCTAAACTCTTCGCTCTCGAAGCAAGGCCCCTGGTCGGTTAGGATCAATTGTGGCACCCCATGGTCGGCCACGATGTGATGCATTACCACTCCGATTATAGCCGTCGCCCGCTGATTAGGCACGGCTGCCGCCTCATTCAACCGCGTCAGCTGTTCTCTCATTTCTCGATGTATTGCTTCCCGCTGGTTGTCACCGGAAAGGGGCTCATGACGTCAGCGGACCATAACTCACTGATTTCTGAGACAGGAATAAGTTCCATAGGATGGGTTGTGCCTGTCGTGTCCCTCTTCATCAGTTGGCACCGCTTACAGGCATCACATAACCCATCGCCTCACTTCCCATCCCGGGCCAGTAGGCACTCTGCCAAAGTAAGTCGTACTTCTTGGTGAACCCTGTATACGCCATCTCATGGTATTCGACGATAAGCTTCCGTCTCAGGATGCGAGGTATCACGGGCAGCACAACATCCAAATTAGCCGGTAACGTGGTGAAATATTGGTAGCTCGGGTGAGTTTATTGTTTGTTGATCAGATGGCTGTTGATCTGTTCGCCGAGCTTGGCAATTGGCTTGCAAACGTTCCGTCCCCATACGAGGAAACATCATCAGTGCGCAGTTGGGTGGGTAATTCTTCCTTGCCTGCGTGTGTTTATATAGCAGTCAAAGGTTATCTGTTATCTTCTGACGTGATTGGCTACCTGAAGTGTAACGAGTCTAGTGAATCTATTGGTCCGTTTGTGATCCTTGTTGCGTTGTGGTCTGTGTTCCTTTGTGTTGATTGGTTATCCCAACGGCTTCTAATTTTAGTAGCTTGTTCTCTCTGGCCTTGATTCGCATTGCGTTGTGGT